GTTGCTGTCATTGGTATTTTTGTTACCCCCAATGTATAATAGTTCCAATAAAAAAAAATTCATCCGTGTCTCTCTTTACATGATTAAATGTATTTGGGCGTGGCCTTTAATGTTACTGTTTAAGGTCACGTACAAGTAAAAGTTGCTGTCACCTGTGACATTATTGCAAGTATGTACCTGGGAGTAATATCCAATTGTTTTTATCCATGTCTCTCTCCACATAATTAAATGCATTATTTAAGCCCCTTTTTCATTACTCCCAGCCCGCTTGTACAGGATGCGCCCTGGCAGCAATACTGAATATTGTATCTTGGCCCTATACTACCATGACCAGACCATCAAACCTTTTGTCTCTTTTCACATGATTAAATTTTCTGGGCTCCCGGTCTATACCTAAACCCCAAGATAACCACGGATGGTGCGTTAGTGACAATGGCTTGCTCGAGCTGTTTTGGTGTGATGGTGATATACTTCCAACAGAAGTGGTTGATGTCATTGCAGAGAATGATTCTTTTAATTCTGATGATAGCAGTGACGAATCCGAATACGACAGTGAAAGCGAAAAAGATGAAGTGTAACATCAATGTAGGCCTACTGTCGATTTGCCAACCTGCAGACAACATTATCTGGAGTAGTAATATTTAAATAAAAACGACACCATTATTTGAGAGATGGTGTGAACTTAATTAGTAAGTTAAATATTTTATGTGAAAACTAGCATGATGTCCTCCGCCTTTACACCTTATCTGATGATAATGTTGATCCTGATCCTGACAAAGTGTTCTGTATCTGCCCTTCGACGGTTGTAGGCCTATTGAGTACGTATCAGCGTATACTTGTATGAAGTTATTTCATCAAAATTAATACAGTATTAAATTATCCATTTGTTTATATCATATACATGTAGAGCTACGCAGCAAACTTTCACTTATTAGTATCAATTACCCCGATTAATTAAAAATGTATATAAACAATTAAATGTTAAAGAAAATGAATTGCATTCATAACCAAGGTTTAAAAGTAGAATCGGGACCCGATTTACAGAATAAGTATAAGCATCTCCAAAACTGAGGGCGTAGTTGACTATATGGAAAGCCAATTTCACTAGTTTTCAAGTTCACATCAATTTATGAGTTTCCCATTTAGTACAGGTTAAATGTGACAAAAATCCTATTTAACCTTGAACAAACTTTAATAAAAGGGTTAAAGGTTATTGACCTTTATACAATTATGAGGGTCATAACTCCTCAACCAGTTTGCCTACATGGACAAAAATAGTGGCAACATCTATGTTTTTGGGATAATTTTTTTAAAAGTATTTTTGCCACCTTCTGCATTGACTAAATATTCAAGGTCAAAGGTCATTGACCTTTACACAATATATGGTCATTACTCTTTAACCACTTGGTCCAGAAGCACAAAAAATAGTGTCTACACAAAACATAAAAATGTGGTGTACTGTATGTTTTGGGTGTCAACAGACAATTATATTCTTCAGGCTTACAAATGTATTCTTCACTGATTTTTAGAGCAAAACAACAGCCTCTCAAAACCAGTTTTCTTAAAGTAAATCAGTCCATTAATTAATGACCACTTGTAAGCACCACAGAAATGATGAGAATCCAAGATAAATCTGATACAACTATGGACCAATCAGAGAGCAGCTTGGAAATTATTAGACTGGGCAGCCAAGCATGACATGCTCCAAACTTTTTTCTACAAACTTTTCTTTTTATATGGTGGAGTCAGTAGCTTAAAAGTGACAGCCTGTTGTTAAATTGAGGGAATGTTGAGAAAAAATATAAAGCATTTGCAGTATTAGGTAAGTTTCCCATAATATATGTATTAATTAAATGTAGTAGCCTAGGCCTAGCTAACCTAGTACAATGTCGACCATAAAACCAACACACTGGATGGGAAGGGAAGCTTCCACGGTCTTGGAATAATTGCGGCAACTACACCAGCCAAGAAGATGACAAACCAGGCTGTATAAAACCAGTAAAAGACAATCACAGTTCAACCCCAAAGATACCGATTCTCCAATATAGCTATGGGAAGAGACATCTGGAGAAGAAATTCAAGGAGCTACCAGAGCTACAAGCAGTTTAATTGAAATGTGATCTTTTATGGGAGTTCAGTTTTATAAGTTTAATCGACCAATGCCCATGTGGCAAGGAATCATGGCAACAGTGCACAACCAGGAAAAGTTTCCGGGGGTTTCTAAAATTCACTTCCTGCCTATGATTGACTTGTATTCTGGTGACAGATCGTGTTTACTTTCAGCAATACATTATGTATCAACTATTGCGAGGAAATATGGCCAGGATACAGTGGTAACATTTGACCAGCCATCTACTGGAAAGCGGTAGAAATAACTTTGAACTCTCCAGAACCGAAATGTAGTTGTCATGATGGGTGGATTTCACTACCTCATGGACCTCCTTGGAGCAATAGGAAAGCTGATGGAAGGCAGTGGCTTGAAAGAGATACTCGCCACCATATATGGTGAGAATGTGGTACAGCATATGTTTACTGGCAAAACAGTTAACAAAGCATTCAGAGGTCATCTGCTGATGGAAAAGTGCTTGAATATTTTGTTAATAAATATGTTAGAAGAGGGCAACCATGTCACAGAACTTGAAAACATCTACTCTAAGATTGAAAGAAACGAAGCAACCATCAAGGACATCCCAGAGAGATGTAACGTCAAAGGATCGTTGAATGACTTGAAAGCATCATTAGGATCTGAATCAAGAACATCACGCCTTTTTCTCAATTACATGAATTGGTGGCTGCAGATCGTTCTGGCAATTGGAACTTGTTGCTAAAATCCATCAAAGACAGTCTACCTATTCTAGCCTCAAGCGGTAATTTCCATTATCTAAGGTCATCCCACTTCTTCCTTGAAGAGATGCTGAAACTTCCAGATGAGCACCCAGAGCTTTACCAAAGATTTCAAAATGGTTTCCATGTAATAAGACGCACTAATAATTTTTGGGCAGGACTTAGTCCCGATCTTACCATAGAGCAAACATAATGAGATCTCTCAAAACATGTCAAATGTTGGTTACATGTTTTTTAAGCGTCATTGTAGAGTCAACAAACGCCAATATTACGAACAGGAACAGATGGAACGATAGTGGTATCGCCAACACCAATGCAGAATACATTCGGTAAGTTTTTGCGATAGCGTGAGCGGATATACAATGCTTCCGTTTTACTAGTGTTATAACATAGCATGTTCAGTGCCAACCATGACTTCACATCATTTAAACATGCTTCCATAGATCGGACTACATCGTCAAGTGACTGGCTTAAATGCTATGTACAGTTGGGTGTCATCTGCACACATGTGATATTATGCATGCATGTTTCGAAATGACATGCCCAAGAGGACGGATGTATAATAAGAAAAGGATGGGCCCTAAAATGGAACCTTGAGGCACGCCACAGTTTAGACGTTCAGGAACTGAAACTGAGGTAGATATCCACACTGATTGTTGCCTAGATGATAAATATGAGCGGAACTAGGCTAATGCCATGCCCGAAATACCAATTTCTTCAAGCCTACAGATGAGGATACAGTGCTCAATGGTATCAAATGTAGCTGACAGATCAAGGTACACTGTTAGTACACAGAGACCATTGTCCAAGGCATGCATAATATCATTGTTGACTTTCAGATTTGCCGTCTCTATACTGTACGATTTGCAAAAGCGGATTGAAAAGGATCAAATAAGTTATTGGATGATAGGTGCTGTACTAAAGCAGAGACAACGACCTTCTCAATAATGGAGAAAGATTGTGAATGAACTTGTATGTAAACAGCAGGATCTTGAAAGCAATTCATTGATTAATGGTTAGCCAGTGCAAGTTATGAAGGACTGGTGTAATGCGGCAAAATGGCTTAGAGCGTGAGACAAGCCTAGCAGCAGTATTTTTTACACATTGCAGTTTTAAAATGCGAGTTTTTGGAACGTTGAGCAGACTATTACAATAAATCCAGCTTTGACAGTACAAATGCATGGACCAATATTGCAGCAGATCTATCGTCCAGAAAATCTACGGATGCTGCCAATTTTTTTAATGCCCAAGATTGCTGAAGAGCATACAGATTTCACTTGGCTTTTCATTAAAAGTGATGAATCAAACTTAACACCCAAGTTTTGGACTTCAGCAGACACATTCATCAACGAGTCGCCGATATGTACACTGGTTATATGATTCAGATTGGAAAAGTGAGAGACAAATGTGTATGAGTTCGGATTTGGAGTCACCGAGTTTCAAATGATTTGTTATTGACCAATATTTGACATTAGTGCAGGATTTAAATGACTGCGGGACACTCAGCTGGTAAAAAAGAATTGTAGATCTGAACATCATCAGCATAAAAACATATTATAATCAAAGAAAAAATCCTGAATAAACAAGCAATATATATAATGATGTATAGTTTAAAAACTAGTAAAAGTGGCTTTCCATACAAAGTAAACTGCGCCCTCAACCATGTGAGTAGTTTCGTAACAGAGTGGAAGTACAAAAATAAAGAGTTTGGCCATGCTTAATCGTTATAATATGGCGTATTTTCTTTGCATGTGGTCTAAGACTTCAATTTACTGTTGTATTTGCCAATAAGAGTAATATCAGGAAGATATAACTTAATAAAAGGTTGGTATAGCTATTAAAAAATAATACTGTATATCAATGTGTCTTAATTTCGTATGTTGTTGATAACCAAGACATTGACCCCATTCTAGCTTTATCGCGCTATGAAGCTTTTATGTTGTTGTTTCATCATGAGTGTCCCATTATGGGGGATAAAAGAGACATCCAGATTTCACTATATTATGTATATATTCTATTATCCGTAATTGTAGCCATGCCGAAAAGCAAAAAGAAGACAAGTAAACCAGTGGTAGAGGAACAAACGTGTATAATACACTTGGCATCTATTACGATAAAGGATACCTTCACGTATGTAAACGAGGAGCGGTACCGACGATTGTGCGAGATACGTGACATAAGAAACGACTTCCCAGATGATTTTCCTTATAAGTTTAAAGACATCTGTCAAAATATTCCTGAATTTTTTGACAGCACTATCCATGGATATCATCGTGCTTGCTACACAAAATTTTCAGCTCATCTGAAACGACCAACTGACGAGAAAAGTTCAGACGGTACAAAGCGTTCGAGACGAAAAATTAGTGCTTCGAAAAGTCAAATCTTATTCTCTCACCATGAATGCATTTTTAAGTATTCATCAATTTCTGAATACCGATGTTTATCAGAGAAAAGGAGATCGACCGTCAGCAGAGGTATCACATATGTAATGTTAAGTGTATTCAATCATGGAGGAGGCCACACAGTACAAACTGCTGCGGAAGAAAGGCACGACGAAGGTACAAATCTTTGCAACTTACGTCATAAATGGAATAATAATAAATACCGGTATTATACATTACAATATATACATACAACATTAGTACAACATACATGTAATATAATTTATTAATATTATATTATATATATTGTGCATTGAAGTAATAACATCTTTAAAGCTGTACTTTAAAAATGTACCAATTCAGTAACTGGTAATGTTATGCTATAAGGTTAGCATGTTCTAATCATCATCTTGACATTCAATATCACTGTCATCACTAAATGGATGGTCATCATAGTCAATTTCAGTGTCAAAATATGTAATCTCAGACTCTTTACTTTCACTTCCTCCATTATCCATATTGTCATCATCAAGAAGCTCTGTATCAGAATCGCAGCAGATCTATCGTCCAGAAAATCTACGGATGCTGCCAATTTTTTTAATGCCCAAGATTGCTGAAGAGCATACAGATTTCACTTGGCTTTTCATTAAAAGTGATGAATCAAACTTAACACCCAAGTTTTGGACTTCAGCAGACACATTCATCAACGAGTCGCCGATATGTACACTGGTTATATGATTCAGATTGGAAAAGTGAGAGACAAATGTGTACGAGTTCGGATTTGGAGTCACCGAGTTTCAAATGATTTGTTATTGACCAATATTTGACATTAGTGCAGGATTTAAATGACTGCGGGACACTCAGCTGGTAAAAAAGAATTGTAGATCTGAACATCATCAGCATAAAAACATGCATCGCATAAAATCCGGGTAGTGTATAAAATGAATAAAAGTGGCAGTGTTTTGATTGTACAGTATTTGTGTGGGAAATTTAACATAATGTCGGAGCTATTAAAGACAGGGATGTGTTATTGCATATGCCCTCCGGCCCCTAACATGAAACAGACCAAGCTCTTTCAATTTAGAACATATTTCTGGTGATGGTCTTAATACTGTATACTCCAACTACGTAAGCTAAACACCATTAGGCCGACCAGCCCTCCTTAAACTAACGTTAGAATACCGCACTTTCGGCGGTAAAGAACAATTTAAACCTCATAAAAAAGGCAACTAATCTGTTTACCCATAATTGAATCCAAGGACACCAGTGTTAAACACTTAGTACTTATCCTTGATAATGTGTTAATCCAATTAATATAGTCAGATAACGTAACGTTAGTTTAAGGAGGGCTGGTCGGCCTATGGGTAACTTTGAGAATTATAGCACATACTGAAAACACAAACTGCTTATTAAGATAAATATAATATGCAAGTCCAGCTGAAAAAAGCAGCCAAGTGTGAAGGCCTAGTACAAAGGACAATACGGGTTCCTAATTAAATGTAAGCACTGTAAACAATGAACTATGAAGCCTGAGCACAGCATAGAAAACCAACTTAAGATACAATGGTAAAATTACAGATCTACCAAAATTTATCAATGAGGTCTAGCCCACAATTTAAGAGAAAAGACTGTTTCACCAAAATTCAAGATAAATTTTGTACAGGAATCAGTGATTTAAGTCAATCTATTAGCTGCTGTTTGGCAGCAGCTATTTAGCACCTGTGATGCGTGTACATATCCCTTTCTTTCTATAGAGAATCATTCATTCATTCATTCAATCTTTCAATTCCATATTTACTATTCAAATAAAAAGCTGAATTAGGTAATACTGTGCAATTTAATTAATAATTAGATTGGTTTGATCCAGGTGTTATCTCCATGGGTAGAAAAAATTATCTTTCAACATATTTGTTGTAAATTAAAATAGAATGTGGGACAAATGATTTCTTATAACTTTAGTACGAGTAGGTAAGGAGCGAATACGGATATGGGATGGGAGAAATTTGTACTCGTTGTATAGTGGATGATCAGTTTGAGAAACTATGCGTTTTACCAAAGAGAGAACACCTGCATCATATTTAAAATTGAGCTTAGAAAAATCTACTCCTATTGCACGCCCCACCCTTCTGGTAATCTTTGCCAACAATCCCTTATCTTTCTCATATAAGCTAACCTCCCATATAATCCTACAGAATGGAATCACACTGAGTATCATTGATTGGTAGAACATTTCTAGAATTTTTTTATCAATATTAAATTTCCTAAGTTGCCGTAACATATGAAGTCGTTGCTGGCCTTTCCTGTACAGTCTTAGTGTATTACTGCACCAATCCTTAAAATATTTGTAAGCACGAAGTATGTTACAATAAAAACAGTCAAGTGTGTTTTCTCTCCTTGTTGAACATGACACATACTGTCTAAAATTTGGGAGCACACGATTAAATTTACACTGGTTTAGATCACCTACAAATAAAATAGGATTCTCAGGAGAATGGGCTTGAAGTTAGTGTGTATGATCAGCAATAGCGTTTGCAGCAACCGCAGTGGTGTAACTCTCATGTGGCGGTCCGCAGGGCCCCTGAATTCTAGGTGCCTCGAAGGGGCCCTACACATAGGTTCCTTGATCTAGCACCCTGACCAAAAAGGACTTCGTTGATAAATAACACCATAATGTGTCTCTGAAATCGAATGTAGGGCATATATCTTATTATAATGATTAAAGAGAGGGCGCCCCGTTAAAAATGGAGATAAAAATAAAATTATATTCACAATTTGAAGTCTGTGAGTGAGTAATGCCACAAGGGCAACGGCATAATGTGTGTCTGAAATCGACTGTAGGACATACCATATTATATCCAGTGGCAGAATAAAGAGTGTGGGGTGGGGGAGCTGCTGACCCGGGGCCCCACTAAATTTGTCAATAAAAATAAAATTCTATTCACAAGTTTGTCTGTGAAGTGCCATTTCCGGCCATCTAAAAGTGCCATATTCATACATTTTCTTACCGCAGCCCCAACCATGGTGGGTCTCAGGTGGTATAGACTCTCCAACTGTGAAAGTCCCTCCCTGGCCTCAATTTTCTGGATCCATCGTTAAAAAATTAGAATAACAATGCACATCTAAAATCCCACGATGGAATTGATGACCAGGACCCAAAAAGGGCCCCCAGTTTCAGAAATACACAATGCCCCCGGGCCCATCATTACACCACTGAGCAACCAAAAAAATTTCCAGGCACATAAACAATGATAATTTTAATACATCTAAATTCTCTTGGCAGATAAAACGGCCTAAGTGACAATGACAGTAATTCATAGTCAGTTGTACAAACTTTTCTTAAGACTGTTATAGCTGAACACCATCTCTCATTTATGTAACAACACGTTCCACCATCTTACTTTACAGTATTTAGAGCTGTTATATGAAGTGTTTGGACGTATTTCCTCGCTTGCTGGGCTGGTAATGCTACCAGAGTGGATAAAGGACACCTTGAAACCATCAGTGAGGTGTATTTAGAACATCTTCCGAAAAACTTTGATAGGATTGAGTTACAGGTAGATGCCTGTCATCCTCTCCATCAGGTTATTATACACCAACTTTAATCCAAGTGGTAGAAAGAGGCTACTCAAAACAAAAACAAATTACTATGCCAAGTCCTTTATCAACTCCAGCATCATCCAGCTCAACAAGAAGGCAAGAAGATACTATATTTTTCAGTGTTATATTGTATTGAATTTATCTGATGATGAGAACTATTGCAATTGTAGTAATAGTAATAATAATAGTAATAATAATAATTATAATGATAATAATTAATTTAACGGTAGTAATAATGATAATAATAGCAAACACTAGTATTAATATATCTTTTGATGGCTGTTTTCATGTATATTTTTATATATATTTTTTTTATGACGAGCAAAGCATTTCCCTTAATGGAATAATAAAGTTATCTTATATCTTATCTTATCTTGAGATTATAGCATTTTGGTGGTTTGGGAGGTGATTTCTGGCAGAGACCACAGTGGCCGTAAGGCCTAGGTGCCATAAAAAATATGACAGCGTAAGAGTTTCAAATGCTTATTTAGTCGAATTTGTAGTCTATTAAAATGTAGAAAATACATATAATTTCTATTTTCTCCCCGATGAATTGTGGTTTTTTGGCTGGTGGGTGGAAAAGCCTCCCCGACGGCCTCCCCTTTCCTGTAGTGCCACCACTGGACCCGGGTTGGCTGTAAACAGTGGTGGGCCAGTGTGGCAGGGGGAATTTTCCCCTCCGTCGGACAGGCCTAGACCCCATGTTGTTCTATGCACGACTAGGTCGTCGGATTAAAAATATTTAAAAAATCATAACTTGCTTATCCAAATAACGTTATTTTGACTGCCAATCCCTAATGTTGGGTCTAAAAGCACATTTTGGACCATAGCAAGCCACAAAAATAATCTCCCAGCGGGACTGCGTCTACTACAGAGTCTTTGGGTGGGGGCGGGGGGATGGGAGAATTTTGAATGATCTGTATAGCAAAAGGTGCCTCATAAAATATATTACTGTCATTTTTTGGGTTGTCTAAATACTAATAGTGGAGTACAGCAGTACTTGTATTGCTTTAACATGGATGTTTTTGTTGATCCGGAAGACTGCAAAGAAAATGCAGTAATTAAAAAGAAGATATTAAGTTTTGTCACATGAAATTATTAGGTGTTACCATCCAGGACAACTTAAAATGTGTTTTGCATGTTGGCCATATTATTAGCAAGGCATCTCGACGATTATATACGCTATGTATATTACGCAGAGCCAAAGCCTCCGTAGATGATATAACATGTGTTTACCTTAGCTACTTACGCCCCTTATTAGAGTATGCATTCCCGGTTTGGCATGGAGCCGTCTCTTGACGTCATAGTCATCAAATTGAATGAGTACAAAAGAGGGCCTAGAATCATCCTGGGACTAAAAACAGAATGTTTTAGAAAGTCACCAATTCATACATTAATACAAATTGTTTAACAACGAACCAGCTACGTATAGGCTGGAATTAATCCTTCGACTGTTGCATGTTGAGATTTCCTTATTTATTTATTTGTTGAACTGTTTATTCTTTTATTGTTATTATTATTATTATTATTATTATTATTTTATATATATATACATATATATATCCAAGTAAATTAAAAGTTGCTGCCTAGACAGATTTGTACGTAAAATAAGAAGTCAAACAAAGTTCTGTATCTGTCTCAAAATAAAATATTTATTGTACTAGTACCTTCGACCATAGGTCATCATCAGGTACTGGTAGGGTAGTAGGATGAACAAGGTTATATAGAGAACATAAACAAAAGAAGCTTATATCTATATATTTACTGTTTATATTTTTAATCTCATGTTGATCTTGTTGTTTCACCTTTTTGATGTCTTGAGTTCAATGTTTTCAGCCGCACTTGTTGTATATTTTATACCGCAATAATTTAAAAAATGAAGGAAATAATGAATGACACAACTCATCTACATCATAATGATTTTACTCTTGAAATGTATCACTTACCACATGTTGCCTTTGTGGAGACTTCGATCCCAACTCCATTCATCTTCATAATAATAATGTTAATAGAAAATGGTTGTTTAAGTGCAATTTTGGTCTAATATTGCGTTTAATATGTAATATTGTTTAATACTGTAATGTATAATTTGTATGTACTCTTTATCTTCTTTT